GAAAGAAAGAAAGAAAGAAAGAAAGGAAAACCTGAAAACTTATCAATTTTCATGTGGCTTTCTTTCACATTCAGCTCTCTCCCTGTTGGCGGTTACTGCTGCTTCATGAACAACAACAATGTCCAGACCAATTTTCACAAAAAAAAAAGAAAAAAAAAAAAGGTGCTTAAAGTGCTCCATATCGCTGTTGCATCATTCCACTCCTTATCCTTTTATCTTCATCCGCAGGGAGTCATCAGACAAAGAAAAAACTAGTTGGGGTCCATTGTTTTTTCATCAGTCTGCCTGTCTGGTCTTGCTCTGCCATCTCTCCCGGCACAACAACAAAACAACAAACTATCTGCAGCTGATTGATAAAACGTAGTCTGTTGTACTCATTGACATACAGTACCTGTGCCCCCTTCAGCAGTCTCTTCTATCTCTTTCTGCTTATGCTCAGGCTGGGTTGTTTGAACACACCAGGTTGTTGTTGATTGTATGGCAGCCCTTGAGGGTCACCCTGAAAATATCTTACTACAGTAATTCTTGATCCACTTTCCTTTTACATACAAGAAGAAGAATCCTGTTGAAAGAGACCAGCTTTTTAAATAAAAGACTGTGTTACAAAGAACTAACACTAATCAAATTTATGTTTCTTTTTTACCCAGTGCAACAAAAGCAGATATTCAGACTAGGAGATTTGGTTTCAAGGCTGCAAATGGAAATGCCTTTTATTCTTCGCTTGAGGAAACCTCAGTCTTGAAGTTCACGTAGCGTGAAGGTAAGAAAAGAGACATAGGTCTTGAAGCACTAAAGCAAAAAGCTGAGGATACGACAAAATATATCATTACTTTCTACAAGTATAGGGCATCCGGCTCATATTTGTGTGCCCCATGACAGTAGGTGGCATTTAAAAAAATTTCCCTTCCATGTAGCTTCGCTTTATAGCGCCTTTCTATACTCCTTCATGCCAGAGGGTAAATTAAATGTCCCTCTGAGCCACAAGGCAGCTGCTGCCACAGAAATAAATAAGTATGCAGCTGCAAAAAAATAAATAAAAAAATAAAATAATAAATAAATAAATAAATTCAATAAGACTTTTATTTTTTAGCTTTGCTTTGGTGTTCTCCAACACTAACCAGCTCTGTTTGGTGAAGGTAAATAAGAGAATAAAAAGATCTACTGCAATTTTGCAAAACAATTTTCATTCCTTTGCATCTCACCTTCATTTCATCAGAACTCACCAGTGTCATAAAACAAACAAAAACATTATTTGACCAGAATTAGCATCACAAAGTGGTGCATTTCAACATGACCTTTTTCTAATACTACTAAGTTCTGATGCACAAAGAGAACACAAAATAAAATGCTTAAGTTAAAATAATATTTTGCATAGTATCAGGTTTTTTAAGCTTTTTGTGAAATTTTTGGTTTGATTTTTTCCCCTTTCTTTTTATTCAAAATTTCCAGATAATGGTAGGTAAAACACGAGCCTGGTTTAAACCAGACCCTGTCCTTCACTTTGCGTCGTACAAGGATCTGGACTTGCTGCATAGAGAAGTGTTTCTTGCAGGAAGTGTGGCCTCTGCTGAAGTTTAAAATGATTGGATCAGTTGGCTGCGACGTGTGTCGATGTGAAGGAGGCTAAGCTAAGAAGCTAACCGGAAATCGCGTGTGCTGTAAACAACCCTACTGAGAGGAGAAATATACCGAGCCAAACGAGACGACTGTAAATGAGAGCTGCTGTTTTGTCAGACAAATTTAATTTAATTTGGAAGACTTATCAACACAGAC